GCGTGTGTTAGGCTGGGTTATCGTGCTGTGCTGGGCACATACATTCGTTCAGACGTCCCCTAAGAGCAGCTTTGCTTTATCTCGGAGCTCACTAATCTGATTTTAAAAAAGACAAAAAAAAAAAAAAAAAAAGGAAGAAGCTGTTTCACCGCAGCGTTGGAAAGAAGCAGTAGTTTCATAGCAGTGACATTTTACAGAGATGCAGCCATAAAACAGCCATGGGGCTGAAGTGCAGCTTTATGGTTTTACAGCAGCTCCGAGAGCACTGTGCTGGTGTTAAGAGGCAATGCTTTTCACACCGGGTGCACAGCTGCGGAAGCCCGCTCCTAGCCTGGAAGTTTATCACCGTGGGGAATTTTTGCCACCTCGCAGTGGGGGTACCTCTCTGAAGGCAGCCGTGCCCCCGTGAGCCCTGTCCCGCTGTGCTTTTAACTTCTCCATCGTCAGCACTGTGCACACGCAGGGCACGGGGAAACGCAGAAGCAGCCCGGTGGTGTGACCTGCCGAGAGGCGTAGCTCCAGTCTTCCCAGCCCCATCCAGAGCTCTCCCGGGGCTATGTTACCTGGCATGGGCTGGGCCTTGGCTGCGGTTTGAGCATTTATCGTGTCTTCCAGGTAGCTGATACCTTATTGGTTCCAAGTAACACCCACGGCCTGTGCTAGTGGTTTCCATTTAAAACCTTCCCTTGGAAGAAGAGGAAGAAAAATCATGCCTGGTCGTCCCACGCCTCAGGCTGACAAGAGGCAAGAAGTCTTACACCCACGGGAAAGGCATTTACTGCTGGGACTGGGGCATACCCGCTGGCTACCTACGGCAGAGGGCCTGGCTCTGCCTTGCTCGCCTGCTGATTTTGCTGCTCTTGAATAGAAAACCCCAACAGCCTCTGGCTTGAGGAGACCCCATAAATTTCTTGGAGTGGTTTTGGGCCACTGGGAGCACAGGGCATGGCTACCGCTACAGAAGTTGGCAGCCTGTAGCTGCGGGGGGAGGTGGGGAGTGGTGGCAAGCAGGAAAGCTGTAGGACCGAATTGTAACAGGGACTGCTCCCTTGCAACCTGTCTGGCCATCCTCTCTCCCTTCATATACGTCCCGTCTGTGTCACACCAGACTGGCAGCAAGAGGTTTCAAAGTTGGGGAGTGCTTTTGTCATCTCAGTGATGATATTCTTTCAGAACAGGACTTACCTATCGTATCTTCCCGGGGGTAAAAAAATGTGCTAAAGCTTTTCAAGAAGACAGCTATGGCTCTTAAAATTAACTCAGTGCCTACATCTCTAAACACAGCTTCTTAGGGAGACTGCAGACTTACCATGACCATAACTCCATGAGTCAAAGATAAGAAGCATCAGTGCTGTCTTCCCCAAACAATTTAGCAACATAACACTACATTTCAAAAGGATTTTTAATGTCTTGGCCTGGGAGAAAAATTGGCAGCTGGGTCAGAAGTAATGCCTGTGGTCAGACAGTGCCAGTAATACCAGCCTCAGGAAGGGTCACACTTGGCTCTGAAACCCTTTGCAGTGTGTTGGGCTGGGTGGTTAAATTGATTTCCGAAGCTGTGGGCCTACTTCTTAATTCTAGGTCTGGATTATGGG